TCATCATCATCATCATCATCATCATCATCATCATCATCATCATCATCATCCTCCTCCTCCTCCTCCTAGCACATGCATCTAACTTTCTGCCACCTGAGAGGCAGGACAAAATACAAGTCGAAGATAGAAAACAAATTCTGTAGTAAACAAAAGGAAGTGTACTATTTGGACAGAAACACTCTGCTACAGTCACAATAGGCAGTCCCACCAGCATATTTAAATACCTAGGTAAAGCTTATAACGTTGAAAACATTGGATTTTATTACAATTGTTGCCAAAATTATTCACGCTTAACTAACAAACACATCCTTGGAAATATGTGTACCACTATATGACTACAGTAAACATGGGGATTAGCATTATCTAATGGTGTAGATAGGGCCTGCGGTGGCTTAGACATCAAGACGCTGAGCTGCAGACTGGAAGGTCTGTAGCTTGGCAGTTCGAGACCCGAGGGCTGCATGACAGAGTGATCTCCTAACAGCTCAAAAGCAAGGAATTGCAAGTAGATAAATAGGTACCCGCTTCGGTGGCATCCCTACCCAGCAAGCCCAGGAAGAGCCTGATGTTCAGGAATCTACTAGGGTGGGAGTCCCCAAGCTTTTTTGAGCCTGAGGGCCCCTTTGGGATCCTGACACAGCATGGTGAGCACAGCCACAAAATGGCTGCTGCAGGAGATCAAGCTAGCCACAAAATGGCCGCCACAGCTCACCCTTCAGTAGCAAAAGTGAAGATCCTTGTACTGTGGTGGCAGCTATTGCCAAAACCAACATTTTTAAAAAATCTGGACAGCCAATCAGAACCCGAGTGGCCAATCAGAAGCCTTGGTGGACAAAGCCCCCACCTGACTCCACCCACTTTCTAAAAACACTTGGTGGGCGCCAGGAGAGGTGGCGGTGGGCACCATGTTGGGGATTTTCTGTGCTACTGCAATCCTAAGCAGAGTTACACCCTTATCTCTTCTCAGGGCTCTTTTTGTAGAAAAAGCCCAGCAGGAACTCATTAGCATAATACAGGAATTCATTAGCATAATAGGCCACACCCAACAGCAGGAACTCATTAGCATATTGGGCCACACACCCGACAGCACAGCTCATTGGCACATTAGGCCACACCCCAATGTTACCAGAAGTGTGGTTATTTAGCCACACCCACCTTTTGCTTCTTATTCTGTTTACCTTGTTTGTTGTCAAAATCCAAGGCCTTTTTTTGTAGCAGGGACTCCTTTGCATGTTAGGCCACACACCCCTAATGTAGCCAATTCTAATGCGTTTCTGCTGTTGGGTGTGGCCTATTATGCTAATGAGTTCCTGCTGGGCGTGGCCGACTTGGGAGCCAGCCGGAACTCTGCTCCTGTGCGTTCCTGCCCCAAAAAAGCCCTGCCCTTATCTCTTCTTAGGATTTCCGCATTAATGTACTGCAACAGACTACACACCAACTGCACACACTCAGCCCATGCCCCCGCCCCTGCCAATACATAAACACCCTCCCCCCCTAGAGGTCTAGAGACCACTTTCTTCCCCCCTATTATGGATATCCTTCAGTTGATGGAGGAAAGCACGGGGGTGAATCACAAGGACAGAGCTGTGTCCTGGGAAGGCTCAAAACGGCTAGATAAAAACTCTCCAATGAAATATCTGCAATGTAGATTTTGCTAATTTAAGATAACGACATCCCCGTTTTCTAAAATACGTTCTGAATAATTTAAAGGCTGCCTGCTTGCAAATCCTCGGTTTGAAATGCGAGCTTACAAAAAGCCTAGGCTGACACGGGAAGGGCAGGAGCATCAGGTTCAAGGTAATTAAGGAGCAGCCCACCAACATTAAGACAGTAATGTCATCCCATCTGCCAAATCCTACATTTAGCTGGAGCTTTGCCTTTTGCTTCCTGCTGCTTCTGTTACCCACCTGATCCTTAGAGACCTGCTTTGATGGAGCATTGATGCCAAGTTTTTCCAGAGGATAGACAATCTGTCGTCTTGGTCGCACGGGAACCATGTAATGAAGGGCAGATGTCAGGGAATGGGCACAGGGATTCTGGAACTGAAAGACAACAAGCTATATTTTAGCAGGGAGAATGTCAGAAAAGTTCATCGCAGATGTCTGCAGCCCTGCGCTGCGAAGACAAGGATTCTTTATCCCCTTGATTAAATCCAAGAGAAATATCAGCAAAGAAATAAACATGCTTAGAGCAGAGGAATGGATTGCGGCTAATTCCCGACACTAATGAAGATAATTATGAGAGTAATTGCATTACTATCTCAGTGGGAATGACAGATAAACAAGTGGTTTGGTTTATGGGATTTTGCCACACAAGTAGTTCCCCAGGAGGATGTTCTCCTCCACTGCGATCATGAATCATCCTCACCCGACCTCATTAAGTAGCGTTACACGTTTGCTGTTTGCCTCCAGTTGTTTGGCATACGGGGGGTTAAACATTTATATAGGAAAAAAGCATATGGATTGTTGCTTTCATCCAAATGATGAATGTTAATGAACTGGCACAAACATGAAGGGGGGGCAAATCCTCATATTTTCATTAACGTATCATTAAAGACTCCTTTATCATGCCGCACGTTTAGCTAAACAACACAGTAGGGAAGGAACGGTTAAAAAGAGAGAGCAGGAATACAAAACAAAGGGCACTGAAATGTTTCCAAAAGTCGGTGCCACATTCAACCTGCTGCTAAAATGGAGATATCATGACATAAACGAAGCCAATTCCCCCCCCTTTCTTGTGAACAGAAAGTCTTAGCAACCTCAGTAGCCCGAGCTTGTCAGAGCCTGGAAGCCACACAGGGTCAGCCACGGATGTGAGACCACCGGGGCTGATTTGCAGAAGAAGGCAATGAACCACCTCTGCCCACAAGGGAAAACCCCACAAGGGAACATCATAAATCAGCTGCAACTTGACGGCACTTATTTATGTTGTCATCATTGTCGCTGTGTTGTTAAAGTGAGCCTTGAAACAGTGCTTCCTTATTTCCTGCATAATTTCCCCTCGTTCCATTTGCATGTCAGTTATAACATCGTTATGGTAATAGTTCAGTTCACAAAAAGCAACCAGCTCAAATGTGGCTGAGTTCTTCAAAAAGGATCTGCAAATCTTCACGGCCCAAAGGACTCCATAGCCAGGACTGAAAGGTCTTTGTATGGTGTTCTGGGCAAGCAGAGGGGCTGTTACGGATTTTTCTTTCCATGGTTTCGTTGTAATGACAGGTCAGGCAGGTTCTCTGAATTTCCAGTATTCCTTAAAAAAACCCAAAAACTAAGTCTCTAGCCCTTTCCCTCTCAAAGATGTAAGGAAAAAAGGGGAGAAGTCAGAGACTTTTTAAAAAAATGAAAGGTGGGAATTCAGAGAACCTGCTTGATTTATCATCATAATCGTCTATCCAGGGCTTTTCTTCTGGCGGAACGTGCTGGAATGGAGTTCCGGAACCTTTTTGACAAAATTCTTTTTAAAATGTTTTACAGTTCATGAGTTCTTCGTGTACAGATTGAAAACTTCATTTCCCTCTTGAGAGTTCTGGCATCTCTCTTTCCAGGAAAAAAAAAAAAAGCCCTGAGTATATCGATATACAGATATTTTACAGATAAACCACTCCTATTCAGGGCAGGAGGGGAGGGGAGTAGTTGGATGAGGACAATTATTGGATGAGGACAACAGTCCAATGATTGAAAAGTGGGCTTGGGGTGGTGGGAGTGGGCGGGACAAAGAAAACAGAGAGAAATCTTATGCACAAGGAAATAGGTGACTCACAATCGGCTTCCAGGAAAAGTTCAGGGCACAAGTGGTTTCAAAAGAACAGGGGGGGGGAAACCCAGAGAGAAAAAACAACAAGAAGTGAAAACTAGTGACATTAAAAATGCATGTGGAAATCAGGGGATAAATCAAGCCGTATGGGGCCAGAAGCCACATCCCCCCACAGAAAAGCCCTAAGCAAATTGTGGCTTCCCTAAGATTATTTAGGTCTTTATGGCTGAGGATCTAACTAGCTGAGATGCCAGGAGGTCGATGGCCAGATCTTCCCAGGTGCACAGACTCCCAGTTCAGACTGGGGTTTCTTGGAGAAGGCATTGAGGATTTCCCCCCAGGGTCTCACTTACTGAAGTGTAGGATTCCGACTCACAGATCCTGCTGTTTTGTCAGGCCAACAATGTATATGATCCACTGGATCTTGCTACGGATCCAGAGCTTAATTTTAACCCTACACCATTCAGTAGTTTTTGCGGTCATGGGTACACATTTTAACAATATAAATCCTTTAAAGAAAACCTTTGAGATGGGCTCTTAACATAACTCTTACAACTGACTTAAAATTGTAACCAGGGGTCATTTCGTAGAAAAAGAGGTGCAGGAGCTCATTGGCACAACTTATTTGCATATGCCACACCCCCTGACATCACCGGAAGTATGTCAGAAGGGACCACCCACCGCTCTGGCTCCAATGGACTCTTTTGGATTGTTAGATATCGGGGGGGGGGATGAGCAGATCTGCCCTCACAGAGGAGAGAGAACGTGTACCTGAATAAACCTTGGCCTTAAAGGTGCCACTGGACTGTTTTGGATTGCTATCTGGGGGGGCGGGATCTCTGCAACTTCCCTGGCTGCTTTTTGCTCTGAGTGAGGGCTGCTGGGAGCAGGGGGCGGGGCTTGTTGCATGTGCCCGCCCTCTGGGCTCTTTACTGCCGGAGCTCCGCTCCTGTGCGCTCCTGCAGGAAATGACCCCTGATTGTAACAGAAAGTTATATGCCTGAAAATGTCCCTTGAGGAAGGTATCCATGTTTTCTGGGGCACATAGAGTTTGCCTTTTCCAGCTTTCACCTGGCTTTATACAACTTTGTTCAGCACTACAGAATATGTTTGGCGAACTTCTGCAAAGTGACTCAGCTCCATCAGCACTGGGAGGCTGCAGAATATTTATTCTCCTTGTTCTGTTATGAAGTATGGATTGATGGAGTTCCACGTGGAGATTGGTGCTTAATGAAGATCTCAGGAAACAGGTCAAGGTGTCACTGATTGAGTTCCCTGTGTTCTTTCCACATGACTGACTGAATTCCTGTGTATTTTCTTTCAGCAATCTACATATTTTAAGTCCTCATCCATATTGCCTGAATCACATTTCATCATTTACTGCCCTGAAGTTATCTGAAATGCATTCTGTATACCTGGAGAGAGTAGCTCTGCATGCATCAAGGGACAGAAACAAAAGGAATAAAGCTGAATGTAACTTAGTCGCTACAAAACTGGACTAGCAATCAAGAAGCCCAGTTTCAAATCTTGCGAGCTGGTATTGGGGGGGAAGTTGCTTGGAATGTTTTGGTTTCTTTTCCCTAGCTGTCTTGGTGATGCTCCCTTATCTGTATCTTTTATGTGCCTGACCTCGGTTCCTAGCTGTAACACGATCTCTGAAAATGGGGGGGGCCGTTACATTCTGGCGGGCCCCCATCTAATGCCGCCCAGTGACTCCTTTGAACCGTGTATATCCATTCACCCCACGCTTTTTGCATTAGTCTTAACACAGAAACTGAAGTAGAGATGTTCTGCCAATACTGTATCAATAAACTTTCCTTCTGAAGAAGCGGGTTGTTCATTCTGATTGTTGCAGGAGTCTGACACTGTTATGAAATCAGGGTGTGAGATTCAGGACAGATGAAAGGAAGTACTTTCTCACACAGCGTGTAGTTAAACTCACTATCGCAAGACATGGGGATAGTCACCAAACAGGAAGGCTTTAAAAGGGAAGTGGACAAATTCATGGAGGACAGGGCTATCTGCCACTACTAGTTGCAGGGACTACTAGCCATGATGGAGATCTACTCCCTCCAGGACCCGAGGCAGTTTGTATCTTTATAGCAGTGGCTGGGGAGTACGGTGGGAGGATGCTGTGGCACTCATCCAGTTAGCGGGCTTCCAAGAAGCAACTGATCAGCCACTGTATGACCAGAATGCTGGACTAAATGGGCCTTGGGTCTGATTCAGCGTGGCTGTTCTCGTGCCCTTATCAGGAGGTGTTCTTAAGAAAGCAAGCCTTTCAGCCTCAGCCTCCCATCTACAAGAGCATATCCAGCCAGATTTTTTTTTTTGCTCACTCAGTCATAGCCTCCCCCCACCCCCGTCGCCTTTGTCCATAAAGGTCCTATGATCCCCAGCAGAACCTTTCCGGTACTCAAAGGGAACTCCTTTTTCTTTTTCATCAATGGAAAAGCTGACTGGATCCAACTGATGGCTGGGATTACAGCAAGACAACAAACACAAGGTTGCTCTGTCGGTCCACAGCAAAATCCAAATATAAAAGTTATGGTATACCTTTCATTAAGACACATCAAAATGATGGGTTGGACTCAACCACTGTTATCCACTGGCGGAAGGGCACTTCCATTGGAGGAGGGAGTGGGGTGATTTTCCCTCTCACTGCAAACCCACACTTTGCCCTGATGCTGCATGTGCAGGTCCAGGGGTCATTTCCTGCAGGAGCGCACAGGAGCGGAGCTCCGGCAGTAAAGAGCCCAGGGGGCGGGCACATGCAACAAGCCCCACCCCCTGCTCCCAGCAGCCCTCAGAAGCAGCCAGGTAAGTTGCAGAGCTTCCCCCAGCCCCCCAGCCCAAAACAGTCCAGTGGCACCTTTAAGACCAAGTTTTATTCAGGTACAAGCTCTTCCTCCTCTGTGAGGACAGATCTGCACGTCCCCCCCCCCAATAGATAGAAATCCAAAACAGTCCAGTGGCGCCTGAGCGGTGGGTGTTGCCTTCTGACACACGTCTGGTGATGTCAGGGGGTGTGGTATATGCAAATAAGTTATGCTAATGAGCTCCTGCACCTCTTTTTCTACGAAATGACCCCTGTGCAGGTCCCCTTACCACCCAGGAAGGAGACGACGAGCTGGAACAAGGAAGAGGCAGCAAAGTCCTGTTCCTTGAGGTTCAATCTTCCTATTGCTCGAAGAATACCAGCAATTGTGCAGCACTTTGAACTCAGAAAGTCCTACAGATATGAAAGGTCAGTTTATATAGAAACAGTTATACTGCTTTAATTTATATGTTACCTTGCCTTCTCCAGTCTGGGGATAGATGGGGTAGTAGAGACAACTTTTGTAAGACAGCCGAAGTATCTCCTTCATGAAATGTTTTGCATAGTGATGAAAGATCGGATTTAAAGCAAAATGGTATAAATGGCCATGGTCTTCCCGCCGGTGATGGTTGAAGTAAACAAAGTCTTCAATGTTGTAGTGTGAGCGAATATATTCAATGTCCTGAAAAACATGGCTGTTTGGTAAAGGAATTCATAGGGACTGCACTGCTATGTTTAAATAGCTACACTACCAATTGTGTACCCCTTTTATTTTCAAGGATGCAAGAGCATCGTTAAAGAGACAGTCTACTGGGTGTCACATACCTGGGCCAACCACATTCGTGCGGGAGAATTTCACTCAGGACTAAAGCAAGACCACATCGGGAACCGTTCAAATAAAGCCAAATCACGCGGTGTTCCCTCTACGCTGTGCATGTGAGCGGTCGCTCATTAACACAGGAAGCCCCGCTCAGCAGAAATCTGGAGTCACACAAGGTCTTGCACTGCCCATTGGTAATTTTAAGATTATAGCAGTTATATGCTGCTCAGGGTGTGAACTGCTCCACTCACTGGGGGAGGAAATTAGAGGGAACACTGCATATCAGCAGGTTCTTTAGCAATACTCTATTTAAAGTAGGCTGAACCCAAAGCAAAGTGAGTAGAGCAAAGGTCACAGAACGGGACTTTCCCTCCTCTCCTGTTGTAGCCCATTGAGCCCCCAGGACATTTGACTGTGGAAGTTCAGAGGACTTTCACAGACAGAACTAACAAAAACCACCACCCCTCCTCTACTGTCAAAACTGGTGTCCTACTAAGACAAGTGCCATTATGTTGGTGGTGGGAGAACCTCCTTAGATCAAACCCAGTACATCTGGAAGGTCTACGTATTTAGTTACAATTAACTATAGATTCATACCCATAGGAACCCCAGACTCTGGAATTAATTGGGCAGGTGGTGGGCAGGAAGGGAGATGCCAGTGCAGTGCAGGGGGCTGGGGATAGGCAGAGGAGGCAAGGGGCTCCTGGCCACACTCTGGCCAGGGCTCTCCAGAACCTGGAACCGTCCCTGGCCCCAGCACACAGCACACTTTCCCTTCTGCTAAAACTCCCCTTTGTGCCAGATCAATGGTTTCGAATGGGCCCTTGTGAAAATGGAGATTTTGGCAGAAGAAGAACTGTGCTTCGCAGCAGAGGCTCTCTAGTGTGCCTGGAACTTGTTTGGAGGATCCAAGCCAGCAAAAGTTCACAAGCGGAACAAAATTCTTTCTCGTGTTCAGGAGGAGGAGCTGCACTTGTACCTATTCTGCACCTATTTTAGATGGTTTTATGTATGTTATAGGAGCTGCGGTGGCTCAAGGGGTTAAGACGCTGAGCTGCAGGCTGTGGAAGGTCGGTAGTTCAGCAGTTCGAGACCCGGGTGTGCCGCATGACGGAGTGAGCTCCCGTCTCTGGTTCCAGCTGCTGCCAACCTAGCAGTTTGAAAGCAAGAAATTGCAAGTAGATAAATAGGTACCGCTTCGGTGGGAAGGGAACAGCGTTCCAGGCGCCTCGGTGTTTAGTCATGCCGGCCACATGACCACGGAAACGTCTTCGGACAGCGCTGGCTCTTCGGCTTTGAAACCGCAACCCTAGAGTCGGAATCGACTGGCTTTCGAGCAAGGGAGACCTTTACCTTTTACTTATGTATGTTATAATTGTTTAGTTATGTTTTATCCTTCTGTGAGCCACCCTGAGAGCCTGCTCCGGCGGGGAGGGGAGGGGTATAAATTGAATAAATAAATAAAATAAAATAAAATAATTAATGCAACCTGCATCCGCATCATTCCAGACACAAAACCGGATGGGTTTCTCTTATTGTTAAAAATGAAAACGCTGTCAAGGAATTCCTGGCAACGTGTTTTTCAGTTTACTACGTGGAACTTGCTTGCCCTTTCCAGGGATAGAATCTTACTACCTGTTGTGCAACAGTAAAGGGAAGCAGTTAATTCATTAATCTCAAAACTGAACTGAATTCCCGGTTGTATTTATAAACTGTTTTGGGTCTATGTTCTTAGAGAACCGTGGACAAGACATTTACGACAAATAAACCAAATGCTTTTATAAAGATACGGTTTTTATTCCATTAACTCATCACATAAAGATACTCAGAGGCGGTATTTTTTAAACTCCTCTGAGGACTGCTCATACGTTATTCTGATCACACACACCCTCCCCAACTGTGTTAGGAGGAAACTAGTGGTTCTTGCATTCCTTTCCCCACTACTCTTGCTGCGGGGAGATATGGGCCCCGGTCACACAGAGCATTAGGCACACTAGAGAGACGGAAGATAGGCGGATTTTCCTGGCACGATCTCACTGCCACATCTGGGAAGCGTAGAGCTCCCGTGGCACACCTGAGGCTTCCTGCCAAAGATGCGGGGTAAAAGACTAGTACCTCGGAGGTACTAGTTTCCGGAAACCGCGGGGCAAGGGCGGGTGTTTCCGGTGGTAGTTCCGGCGCCCGCCCATGTCCCCTTGCAAAAAGGGGGGTTTTTTTCCAAGTCTCCACGGATGCGCACAAGCACCCAATGAAGCATGCGCACACTTCAGTTTTTTAAAAAAAACACAACCCCGTTTGCCGCGCCGCGCCGCTTCTTTGCCGCGTCGTGTGATCGGCACCTCCCCCCTAACCATGGGAGCTCGACGGGACCTCAACCCGACGCCTGATCGCGCAGTCACGCGTTAGTTTGCTCCGGGGCAAACAGCCACGCCTCCCCCCCGCATTTTCCTGCCCGTGTGGCCAAGGCCATGAATGACCAAACTGGGAGGATTTATAATACAATGTGATTTTAGTTTGGCACCCTCTGGTTTAAAAAGGGAAAGAAGAATAACAAATATGAATATATACCATTTCATTCCTGATGATCGATATCCCAACTATCTGATTCAAAGCTTCTGCTACAAATGCCTGAACTGGCGTTCCATCCTGGAAAAGAAAGCACAGCCATCTGTGACTATTTCACCCCACGTCCCATCTTTCCCTCTCAGACATCAATTCATATAACATGCTTTAAAGGGGGCCTGTGTAAGTCACCTCCAGCAAACGTATACAAACAAGCCCAAAGACCAGCAGCACCTTCAAGGTAAACTAAATTATTGTGGCGTAAGATCATCTTGGGCTAGAGATTCTTTGCCAGAAGTATCAAGTGCTCATGCCAGGAGCTCCCTCTTCTGGAAGCTCTTCTGTTGCAATTGTTGGGTCGTCCATTTTCTTCTGCTAATGGTTTTGTTGATTTTGAGGCCTCATTATTACTGCACTGGATTCTGGCAGCCAGACGTTAGCATCTGTGGTTGTGTTTATGGTTTTAATACTATATTATTTCAATGGCCATGTCTCTTTTCAAGAAGGGGGGGGGGATAAACATTCTTAAACGATTAAAAACAAATAAACACAGGCTATCACCCACTCAATCTGTCTGCTGGCATAGAGAAGAGTCTAACTCCCCTAGTAGCCAACACTACCAGCCCAATCCTAAGCAGAGTCACGCCCTTCTAAGAGCTAACTTCAGTGGTGTACTTCTGTTTAGGATCACACTGCAAAACACACACGCACACAAAAACCCCTTTATTGGCATTGGAAGCACAAGACATCAAAACAATGAAGAACATGAAGTGCAGAAAAGGGCAACTCGAATGATAAAAGGGTTGGAACACTTTCCCTATGAGGAAAGGTTAAAGCGCTTAGGGCTGTTTAGCTTGGAGAAAAGACGACTGAGGGGAGACATGATCGAGGTTTATAAGATTATGCATGGGAAAGAGCAGGTAGAGAAAGAGGTACTTTTCTCCCTTTCTCACAATACAAGAACTAGTGGGCACTCCATGAAATAGAACGGATAAAAGGAAGTACTTCTTCACCCAAAGAGTGATGAACACATGGAATTCACCGCCACAGGAAGTGGTGGCGGCTACAAGCATGGACGGCTTCAAAAGGGAATTAAATAAGCATATGGAGCAGAGGTCCATCAGTGGCTCTTAGCCACAAGGTATAGATAGGGACTCTGGGGCAAGTGATGCTCTGTCTTCTTGGTACTGGGGGGGGGGGCAACAGTGGGAGGGCTTCTAATGTCCTGGCCCCACTGGTGGACCTCCTGATGGCACCTGGTATTTTTGGCCACTGTGAGACAGAGTGTTGGACTAGATGGGCCTTTGGCCTGATCCAACATTGGCGTCTCTTATGTTCTTATATGTTCTTAACATGTAAGCCGCAAAAAGAAGAAAGAAACTTTGAGGTAACTGCGCTAGATAATATTTCAATAATAATCACAAAATTGTACAAAAATGTGTGCAGAAAATTATATAAATATACAAGACAATAAATGATGTGTTGACGATGGTCTCCGGAATGCTCTATCGTTTCAATACTGTTCTTCTTCCGAGAATGAATGAAAACAGCGACTCTTAAGGCATTATACAAGCACCTTGCCCTAGGAACATTCTGTCAGAGAAACTCTTGCAATTAAGTCATGATACATCGGTGAATATTATGGATTTTTGATACCCACTAGTTGAAAAGACAGACCAAGAGTCGCTGTTTTCATTCATTCTCGGAAGAAGAACAGTATTGAAACGATAGAGCATTCCGGAGACCATCGCCAACACATCACTTATTGTCTTGTATATTTATATAATTTTCTGCACACATTTTTGTACAATTTTGTGATTATTATTGAAATATTATCTAGCGCAGTTACCTCACAGTTTCTTTCTTCTTTTTGCGGTCTGTTCTGTGACTGTGACCATCATTTTTTGAGCCTTAACATGTAAGCCTACAGGTGACATTTAAAATATGATAGGATCCCCACTAACTGCTGTTCCCACAGGCCACCCACATAACACTGAAAGAACACAGCAACAAATTTTGAGGTCTGGATTTTGGAAAGTCAATTCTGTACACAAAGGAACCCCCTGCTTATCATCTCAAATCCAAAGTACGAAATTCAACAGAAGCAAGGTAATGAACTTACTGGATCTCTCCGGGCTAATAGGTAGTTATTTAAATCATCCAATATACTCCTGTTCAACTCCAGGGTTTCGATCAGCTCTTCAACAGCATGGGTGTCACTAGATTTTGCTGCTCTTACAAGAAAAGACCTGTCAGAGGAAATAAATGTATATCTTGTGTGCACAATGAACACAATCTCCTAACAGTCTCAGACTCCGGGTTTAAATATACAGGCATGTTCGCATGTTGCATTCATGGCAGCTAATCCTGGCTACCTCCCATGAAGTTGTACAGTCTTGGCACAGCATTCCTGTATCACAGCGCTGTTTCATTCTGAAAGCTCTTTATTGCTATTTTTAGGTATCCTTTAGCAAACAAAAGCTGCTGGCTTGTAAAAAAAAACTGGACACTTGTCCAAGACAGGTCCAAAGAAATATCTGATAGTTCAGGGCATACCTATGCCATAAACTTACATCAGTTTTATGCCAACAACACAAACGGCTTCCCCCAAAGAAGCCTGGGAATTGTAGCCCGAAAAGCGTTCAGAGAATTGTTTGTGATTTCTAACTTCTCTCCTAGAACTACAATTTTCAGGGTTGGTTGTCATAAGAACATAAGAGAAGCCATGCTGGATCAGGCCAATGGCCCATCCAATCCTATATTCTGTGTCACACAGTGGCCAAAACCCAGGTGCCATCAGAAGGTCCACCAGTGGGGCCAGAACTCCAGAAACCTTTCCACTGTTGTCCCCCAAGCATCAAGAATACCGAATTCACTATGCCTCAGACAGAGTGTTCCATCTATACCTTGTGGCTAATAGCAATGGATGGACCTCAGCGCCATGTTTAGCCAATCCTCTCTTGAAGCCGTTTATGTTTGTAGCTGCCACCACTTCCTGTGGCAATTAATTCCATGTGCTAATTACTCTTTGGGTGAAGAAGGACTTCCTTTTATCTGTTGTAAGCCGACTGCTCATTAATTCCATTGAGTGCCCATGAGTTCTTGTACTGTGAGAAAGGGAGAAAAGTACTTCTTTCTCTACCTTCGCTATCCTATGCATAATTTTGTAAACCTCTATCATGTCCAGTGTTCCCTCTAAGCTGAGTTAGTGTGAGCTAGCTCACAGTTTTTTAGCCTCCGGCTCACACATTTCTGTCTTAGCTCAGGAAGGAGGGCTCCAGAGCAAACTGATTTACACAGTGGCCAAATCGCTCACTCTTTAATGCCAGGAGCTCACAAAGCAGAATTTTTGCTCACAAGACTCTGCAGCTTAGAGGGAGCAAATGATCATGTCATTCCTTATTTCTCCAAGCGAAAGAGCCCTAACCTATTTAACGTTTCTTCATAGGGAAGGTGTTACATCCCATTAGTCATTTTAGCTGCCAATGCTATAGTGTCTTTTGGGGGGGGGGGCGGAGGGGATATGTCCGTAGTCAATGGCAACTCTTTAAAGTCCGGTGTCAATCCTGTATGGGACAGGCAGTCATCACCCATCATGATGTCATCCCCAACTGTACCACCCTCATTGTCACCCAAACCTTGCAAACCAGTTCCGGATTAACCTTTGCTACTTCACTGGGGTCAAATACAGCTAATCATGCCACTTGACTCCCCAGCAGACTCACCATTAGATACAGCATCCTCTACAACGTTAAAATATTTATCCACTTATTTGAGTACTGTGTGGAGACACCCTCTCAAACAGTCTTTGAATGTCCCCACCTGAACAGACAGGTGGCCCTTCCAGCACAACTGGTTGGCCACTGTGTGAAACAGGATAGTAGGCTAGATGGACCACTGATTTGATCTAGCAGGGGTTTTCTTATGTTCCTAAGGCTGAACAGTGAAGCACAGTTTAGGGTTGCCAAGTCGTACCTTCATCTGGAGCGGGGGACTCCCGGTTTGCTCCTGGAGAGCGCGTGCACACGCTTCGCATGCGCATGCCGCATCCACATCACTAGGAAGTGACGTGACCACGCCAGGCATGCTGGGGGCGGGGCCACGGCCATCTGAGGGAAAACCATAGAGTTTTCCCTCAGATGACCATGGCCCCGCCCCCAGCGTGCCTGGCATGGTCACGTCACTTCCGGGTGACGTGCACGTCGTGTACTTTGGGGGTGGGGTTCCCCCCGGGGCCCGATCTACCGCCGGCGGGGAACGGGCCTCTGGGGCGGGGGTTTCCCCGTCCCCCGGGGGGACTTGGCAAGCCTAGCACAGTTGGATGAAAACAGAAATTGTGTTCAGTCATAAGATTTAGTGCCCAGGATTAAACAAAGCCCTGCAAATCTGGCGTTAGGATATGCAACAAGCATAAACGAAACTGTCTTATACACTATTGGTCTGTCTATCAAGATCAGCAACACTGTCTACTCTGACTGGCAGCGGCTTTCCAGGGTCTCCAGCGGAGGGCCTTCGCATCACCCAATGCCTTCAATGGAGTTGTCTGAGGTTGTACTTGGCACCTTCTCCATGCAAAATAGATGCTCTACTGCTGAGTCACACCATGGCCCTGCTCATCCACTGGAGCTTTGTTTGCACCAGAAAGCCTTCCTTAACTAAAGAATTCTGTTCAACAGACTTCTTTATTATGTAACATGGAACACCATGCAGAGAGGAAAAAAATAATTCAAACGTGAGCATGCAAAACGTTCCTGAGAGTTGTGAGTTACCAGATGCTCAGTTGCCAGCATAGCTGACAAAAACGGATGAAGAAAAAAGCATTTAAAAGTACTGTATTAAAAAAAAAACTAACTCCAGTACACATAGTTTTATTTTTTCTAACTACCCCACGGTCTATTGCTTCCTGTCTATTTCAAGGACATGTCCCTTTTGCAGCTCTTCTTGCAGAAAACAGGATCTCATTCTTTGCTTGCAAAGAACCTGTTCTCTGCAAAAAGAGTTGACAAAGGAAAATAAACTTGAAAAAGAGCAGCGGGCTAAAAATAAACTGGGTAATTTTCGTAAAACAAAATAAGTCTCAAAGCACCTTGAGATGTTTTCCTCTGGTTTCAAAACTACAGTGTCTGCTTCTGCCTCCCAGGGCACCACACAAAGCATAGGCAAGCTTAGCTGTAAGGCCCAGTTTTGAAGTGCGTAAAACAATATCTGCAAAATAGGAATCTACTTTTAACAAAACGAGACCCAATCAGTGTTCCTTCTAAGCTGAGTGAGTGTGAGCTAGCTCAGAGTTTTTTAGCCTCCGGCTCACACATTTTTGTCTTAGCTCAGGAAGGGAGGGCTCCAGAGCAAACTAATTTATGCAGCAGCCAAATTGCTCGCTCACAACTTTAATGCCAGTAGCTAACAAAGTAGAATGTTTGCTCACAAGACTCCACAGCTTAGAGGGAACATTGGACCCAATAGGGGAATGATACACAAGGGGAGAACTATTTTTGGCCTGCGGGTGTTCACTTTGCTACCACTGAGGAATTAACTCATTCTAGAAGTCCAATTCATGTGACTGGCCCAGAAGCCAAGGCACTATTATTAATATACAATCAAAATGGAAGAAAAGTATCCGGTAAGTATTCCAGCCTATACCTTGCCCTCTATTATTTTCCATCCTTCCTTGTTAACCAGCATTTGCCATCCCCTGGCTTTTGTGTAAAAGACGTTTCCAATTCACAACCTCTGCTAATCAGCCATTCATTTTTGGGTCTTTGGCCATTATCTTTCTGACTCTGCACTTCCGCGTCTTCTCATGCCCCCCCCCCCCGCCGCAGCATTTGCTTCCAGTGAGCCTGCTTTTCATCCATTCTGTGCAGTTCACTTTCCATTCCCCTGTCTTTTGAAACCTCACAGTGCAGAGCAGTGAATTGAGGCTTGCTTTTCATGTTTTTCCTCGCTGGGAAAGGATTATTAGCGGCTTGACACCGGCTTTTATGTTACTCAAAATTATCTCACCACTCTTCAGTTTCCAGCTCATGTTCTACAAAATTATATTTTAATGCGAGAGTCTTGGGAGAGAAACAACTGGTCTGGCTATCTGCACCCAATCCAATTCTTGCCTGTAATGCATTCACCTTTGTGCTTTCGTGTAAAGGGACATTTTCTATACAGCTTCTCTCTGAAGAATCCTGTTTCTGGGGGAGAAGAGAAATAGGAAACAGCACCCTGAGACCCATTAACCTGGGATTTTATCTGTGGGGCAAGTGAAGGATGTGGAAGACAAGTGATGCTGATGAAGAACTCGGCTATTACCATCCAAAGCCTCAAATTCAAAATTCCTTCGTGGCAAGACTATTCAACCCACATAAGGCAGCTCACCAGTGACTAGATAAATGTGCTGATTTTGCTGCCTACTTGGCCCTGAAAAGCAAGGGGGTTGCCAGGGCTATTTTTGGGCAGGAACGCACAGGAACGGAGTTCCGGCTGGCTCCTGAGTTGGCCCCGCCCAGCAGGGACTCATTAGCATAATAGGCCACACCCAACAGCAGCCAACTCATTAGGATTGGCTACAATTAGGGGTGTGTGGCCTAACATGCAAAAAGCCCTGGGTTTTGACAACAAACAAGGTAAAGAGAATGAGAAGCAAAAGGTGGGTGTGGCTGGATGACCACACTTCTGGTAACATGGGGGTGTGGCCTAATATGCGAATGAGCTGTGCTGTCAGGATGTGGCCTAATATGCTAATGAGTTCCTGCTGTTGGGTATGGCCTATTATGCTAATACGTTCCTGCTGGGCTTTTTCTACAAAAAAAGCCCTCATGCATCATGCAGGCTACAAAATGTGGATCGAGGCCTTCATTTGGCCTAGTGAGTCCTGCTACAGGGTACGTCTGCCTATCTGCTGCAGATGCCTTCAGCTTCTTTTTCTTCCCTTTGAAATCAGCTGTAGTATCCCAGACCCAGGGTATGCTTGGAAGGTACATGATTCAGCCCCTGGCTGAAGTAGTACAGGACAGGAGCACCACATGGAAAAAGGGCAGTTTGCTTACTTGTGACTGATGTTCTTTGAGTAACGATCTGTATAGTCACACAAATGGGCTCTTAACAGTAGCTTCTTGCCCAGAGTATAGGTTCCACATCAAAACAATCAGATGTTGTGGCCAATGCTTCCTCTAAGCTGTGGAGTCTTGTGAGCAGAAAGTCTACTTTGTGAGCCTTTGGCATTAAAGTTGTGAGCAAGCAATTTGGCTACTGCATAAATCACTTTGCTCTGGAGCCATCCCTTCCTGAGCTAAGACAAAAATCTGTGAGCCGGAGGCTAAAGAACTGTGAGCTAGCTCACACTAACTCAACTTGGAGGGAACACTGGTTGTGGCACACCCATTTTTTTTCAAACTAACCATAGCTTTTCATGATCCAACCAGTCAAAAGCTTTGCTGCAATTATACACAAGAAGAATATCTCCTGATATTCTGTTGTATGCTCCAGTAACCAACATACATTTACCACGGCCTTCTTCTGTGCAGTGCTAACCGGGGTTAGATGATGTGGCACTGCCATTGTCTATGAAAGATCCTCCACAAGTGCCACCTTCCACTGTGACAGCTGCCCAGGAGCTAAACTTCAAGGATTCCTCTGCTCCCAATCTTTTGCATATGGATTGGCTGTTGAAATTCTAATCAATCCATATGCAAAAGAACCTCCTCAGGAAAGCTCCTCCATTAGCATGTCACAGCCTGGGAAACTCCTACAAGAGAATGACTCAGCCCTACCCCACCTTCCTGAGTAGATATAAACTACCTGCCTACCATTTTTCTTCTCACCTTGACACAGAGAATCCTCCATCTTTCTGTGTTATACCTCTGAGGATGCCAGTCATAGCTGTTGGTGAAACATCAGGGAGTACAATGCCAAGACCATGGCCATACAGCCCGGAAAATCTACAACAACTGATGAACTCCAGCCGTGAAAGCCTTCGACAACATATTTCCAAGCACGGTTACAAAGGGCTACTGCTGCAGCTGTCATTTGAGAGCTGCACTCCTCTGTGGTGTGAGTCATATTTATTTGCTGCTTGGTAAGAAAAGTGCTTCTCCCTTAAATACAAGTGTTGGTTCCCTCTTGTTAGTTGGCAGGTGATCCAGGATAGGTGAGATCTTCTCCCACAGGAGATACCGGCAATGCACCAGCTCTCCAGGGCCTTAGGGAGAGAGGTCTTTCACAGCATCTACTATGTTATCCTTCTTTTAACTGGAGATGCCAGGGACTGAGCCTTTTGTATGACATATTGGAGTTGGGAGTAAGCAGTGAAGTGGCTAAATTTGCGGATGATACGAAGTTGTTCAGGGTGGTGAAAACCAGTGAAGATTGTGAGGCACTCCAAAGGGATCTGTCAAGGATGGGCAAGTGGGCGTCAACATGGCAAATGGAGTTCAATGTGGCCAAGTGCAAGGTGATGCACATTGGAGCCAAAAATCCTAAATATAAATACACGGTGATGGGGTCTGAACTGGCAGAGACTGATCAAGAGAGAGATCTTGGAGTTGTAGTAGATAACTCACTGAAAATGTCGAGACAGTGTGTGACTGCAATAAAAAAGGCCAATGCTATGCTGGGGATTATTAGGAAGGGTATTGAAAACAGATCAGCCAATATCATAATGCCCCTATATAAATCAATGGTGCGACCTCATTTGGAATACTGTGTGCATTTCTGGTCACCACACATTAAAAAAGGATATTATAGCTTTGGAAAAAGTGCAAAAAAGGGCAACTCGAATGATAAAAGGGTTGGAACACTTTCCCTATGAGAAAAGGTTAAAGCGCTTAGGGCTCTTTAGCTTGGAGAAACGACGACTGAGGGGTGACATGATCGAGGTTTATAAGATAATGCATGAGATAGAGCAGGTAGGGAAAGAGGTACTTTTCTCCCTTTCTCACAATATAAGAACTCGTGGGCACTCCATGAAATTGCTGAGTGGTCGGGTTAGAACAGATAAAAGGAAGTACTTCTTCACCCTAAGAGTGATTAACACATAGAATTCACTGCCACAGGAGGTGGTGGCAGCTACAAGCATGGACGGCTTCAAAAGGGAATTAGATAAGCATCTGGAGCAGAGGTCCACAAGGTATAGATAGGGGCTCTGGGGCTCTGGGGCAAATGATGCTCTGTCTTTTTGGTGCTTGGGGGGGGGTCAACAGTGGGAGAGCTTCTAGTGTCCTCCTGGCCCCACTGGTGGACCTCCTGATGGCACCTGGTATTTCTGGCCACTGTGTGACAGAGTATTGGACTGGATGGGCCTTTGGCCTGATCCAACATTGGCATCTCTTATGTTCTTATGTTCTTAAGCAGATGCTCTACCACTGAGCCACAGTCCCTTCCCTCTGTACTGGTTCAAGCAAACGGACATGCATGAAGTGGCTCGCTGGATAGAGCTACATCTTATTTGCAGCTTCTTGCCTGCATTTAATGCGATTAAAGTTGACTGCTTAATTAATTACAAACTAAAACAGAACAAAAAAGATAACAAGGTTGAACTTACCTGTAAACTGGCGACTGTGCCAAGCGCAAGCCTGCAGAGCCCCAATGTGGGACTTGCACAGAAGCTGCAAAGATAAAACTACGATTCTTTGAGAACTAGTATTATAGCAAAGTATGCCACTAACTTGAGCAATCCGGAACGATGAAACACGTAAAGCTCCTGGTCCAGAGTACAACCACTAAAGGGAATAACCCGAACAAAGTTCTGGATCAGATAAAATTCTGGTACCATGTGAGGCACTGAGATGATGCAGAAGTCTCTGTCCTGGAAAAAAAGAGACAACATACCTCCGTCACTCCTAAAAATCATATGCAGATTTTTTAAAAGAAAATAGTTTAGACTGAAATAAAGAGAGCAATGATGTTGCATATTCCATGAATGGAGAATGCAATTTTATACACAAAAACTTCATTAGATCATATTGAAGGGATACCCCATGTTTAGATGGCTATGAGGACTGGAAATGGTTAACAATGGCTACATCACACCTGTTCAGTACATTCACTTAATGTACTATCATCTCAGGGCCGGGGGTCGTTTCGTAGAAAAAGAGCTAGGGGAACTCATTAGCATAACTCATTAGCATATGCCACACCCCCTGCCATCACCGGAAGTGTGTCATAAGGCCACACACCCTGCCCCCAATGGTCCCGGCCACCACCGCCGGCCTTGCAGCTCCACTACCAAGTCCCATGAGGGGCCCGGCGGTGGACCTGCAAGGCCGGCGGGAGTGCAAGGAAGCCCCGCGAAGGCCCTCCCTGGCCCCAGGCAGGCAGGGGTGGGGAGAGGCAGGGAGAAAGCAACTTACCCTCCCTCTTCTCCTGCCTCCTCCTGGATGAATGAGGGCCAGAAGCGGGGCGGCCGGAAGCAGGGGGTGGGGCTTCGTCATGTGCCCCGCCCCCGTACCTCACCCGGGGGAACTGCGATCCCCCGCGATCCCCCCCGAAATGACCTCTGCTCAGGGCCCAATCCTGAGTAAGCTCTGCTGAAATGATTGGGGTTCTTGTGGCACTCTTTTAAAATAACACACACACCCCAACTTTGCTGTGCTCTTGCATTGCTTCCGTTCCTTCCAATAGGGCTTGTGCAGTAGAACTGCCCGCTATGTCAAGCTCTAGAAAGTCTATCGTAAGTTTTCATACAGATTAAAGATTTAAATAGTTACATCTTTGGACAAATGCTCCAAAGGCCAGCAACAAAATGACCTGGAAGATTAAAATGTTCACCTATTGGTTTTTGAGCATTGCGATTTTTAATGCTGGATCTATGTCCACTTATTCTTTTGCATAGGGATCCGTCTGTTTGTCTGATGTAGAGGGTAGAAGGGCATTGCTGACATCTGTGAATGATGCTGAGAAGGTATGGCAGACGTTGCCAGAGCGAATATGGGAACAGAGCAGTTAAAACATAAGAACATAAGAGACGCCAATGTTGGATCAGGCCAAAGGCCCATCTAGTCCAACACTCTGTCACACAGTGGCCAAAAGTACCAGGTGCCATCAGGAGGTCCACCAGTGGGGCTGGTTTGTTATCCTGGTTTGTTGCAGGTTATCCTGGTTTGTTGCAGGCCCTGGTCCCAGAGTCCGTGTTTAGAAAGATATTGCTGTGGGTAAGAAGTTTTTTTAAGGTTAGGAGGCTGTCGGTGGGCAAAATAGGTTTGCCTCCCAATGCCTGTGAGAGAGGAGTATTACCGTCCAGCATAGGTTGCAGGTCATTAATGATGCACTGAACTGGTTTGAGCTGAGAAGTGTATGTGGCCACCAGTGACGCCCCACCGTTGTTTTGTCTGGACCTATCTTGTAGGAGGTTATCCCTTGGTATCGTTCTGGCTTTGCCAATCTGTTTCCTCCCTACGCCAGGTGGGTATTTTAATTCCAAAAATGTCTGTTGTAGGTCTTGCAGGTGAGAATGTCTGAGGAATCAGAACAGATGCGGCTGTAGCCTAGAGCTTGGCTAGAGACAGTGGATCGCTTGGTGTGTTCAGGGCGGTGACTGGACACATGTAGACATGTTTGGTGATCAGTAGGTTTCCAGTCTAAGGTGGCTTTTATGCTTTTTTAAATGCACTTGTAAGGCAGTGTCTAGAAACTGCATTTCTTGTGTGGATTGGTTCATGGTCAGGTTGATGGTGAGATTGTTATGAACAATGGACCACTGTTAGCCGAATTGCTTTATTTACAGCAACTGGCAATTTATAAATGGGTCCTTGCCAACTATACCAAGGTCCTGTTCCCACAAGGGTTACCAGAGAAGGATAATGAGGCTGTTGTTGTTAAAATAAATGTCTTTTACTTAAAGAATAAATCTCATACAAACAATACTGATGCACTCACACATTCAATCAAGTTCCTTAGAATTACAGTATTAAAATAAGCACAGTTGCATTAGCAGGTGGGGGTGATGGTAGGCAATACTTATCTGTCTTGCAGTTCGGTTGTTCCAATGAAGAATGGATGGGAAGAAATGGAAACTAAAGGGAGTTCACACACGACCAGAACCAGCCAGAACGTGTGGGTCTCTTGACTGCAGATCAAGAGATCAAAGCCGAGGCAAGGGTTTGGGGATAGCAAGTGGGACTCAAGAGGAGTAAAAAGCAGACAGGGGTTGTTGCGGGGGATGCTAGCTAGGAAGGGCCAGGTGAATGGTCCTTTCCTTTTAAAGGGGGTTCAAGAGATGGGTTGTGGCTGTGCCAACCTCCAGACCCACCTACCTGTCAGTCTGTCCCAAAAACAATCCTATTGGTTGCCTATAGGAGTGGGAGGTTACCTATAAGGAGTGGCCAATATTGTAATCTAAAACCTTACTCAAAGGAGGGCATCTGGGCAGGTGTGAAAACCTCCGCGTCAGGATGCTCCATTGTAGTATTGATAAAGCGGGCCATTCTCATTGTGAACCAAATGTCCATTTGGCAGGAAATACCAATGCAGGAACAAAGCAGTGATGTGTCCTACGTGACCACAAATGATTCAGCAATGGGGGCTGTCTCTGCTCAAGCTGTTGTTTCTCACTGCTCACAATAATGGAGGTGTGTGCTCCTTCACCAGGCTGGTAACTGTGTAACTGAAACCTTATTCACGTGTAAGGCTTGTACAGGCACCTTCTATGTGTAGTATCACAACAGGTGACTTATAGTGTACAGTCTTCTGAGCCTATGTGTGTGTGTGTGCACAGTCCATTGTGTGTTTAGCAATAAATATAGTCCATAAAGCAAAATATCAAGTTCATTCTCTAACACCACCCAGGGCTGAATAGGAACACGGGATTGTTTTCTCCCTATAGATACTAATTCTCTGCCCCCAAGCCTTTCCCCTCTGCTCTAATCAAGCTGATTACCACGTGCATGAAACTTCAGCATCCTTTACAAGCATACTTTACAGCTCCCCTCCCACCTTCTGACTAGGATAAAAGGCCTCGGGCTGTGGTCACACGGAGCATTAGGCACGCTAGAGGGACGGAAGATAGGCGGATTTTCCGGGCGCGATCTCACCGCCACATCTGGGAAGCGTCGAGCTCCCGTGGTGAACCTGAGGCTTCCCGCGGAAGATGCGCGGTAAAAAACTAGTACTCCGAGGTATTAGTTTCCTGAAACCGCGGGGCAAGGGCGGGCGTCTGATCGCGTTTTCGGTGGTAGTTCCGGCGCCCGCCCATGTCCCCTCGCAAAAAGGTTTGTTTTTTTCAAAGTCTCCATGGATGCGCACAAGCACCCAAGGGATCATGCGCACATTTGAGTTTAAAAAAAAAAACACCCAACCCCTTTTGCCTCGCGCCCCGCTTCTTTGCCGCGCCGCAGGACTGTGGAGTGATCGGCACCTCCCCCCTACCACAGGACCTCAACGGGACCTCAACAGGACCTCCACGGTAGGTCTGCTCGTGCAACCGCGCGGTTTTTAGCCCCGGGGCAAACAGCCACGCTTCCCCCCTGCATTTTCCTGCCCGTGTGCCCGCAGCCTAGGATCCCCATTCCTACTGTGTCTTGCGAAGGAAGCTTTGACTCTCAAAAGCGGGTACTCTGAGACTCTTGTTGGTCTCGAAGTCCCTTCTAACCAGTTTGGTGTCGTGGTTAAGTGTGCGGACTCTACTCTGGGAGGACAGGGTTTGATTCCCCACTCCTCCACTTGCACCTGGCTGGATGGCCTTGTGCAAGCCGTAGTTCTGATAAGAGCTGTTCTTGAAAAAAGAGCAGTTTCTGTCAAGAGCTCTCTCAGCCCCACCTACCTCACAGGGTGTCTGTTGTGGGGAGGGGAAGGGAAAGGAGTTTGTAAGCTGCTCTGAGACACCTTTGGGTAGTGAAGGGCGGGGTAGAAATCCAATCTCTTCTTCTTCTTCTTCTAACTGGGATAAAAAGACTCAGATCTCCAGCCCTTCTTTTGTCTCACTGGACAAGTATGTTTTAACAAACCAAACTTCCTAAAGCAATTTTTTAAAAATGTGACAACTATTTTGCACATACTTACAGGGAACAGCTTGAAAACGAATTTCAAGAAATCCAGTGACCTGTAAACAGAACCAAACATTTCAAAGAAGTTTTGGATTGTACAGTACTTCTCAAACCTGCTCCCCCCTCCCATTTCCCCTCCTATCAAAAGGTCATCCAACCCAGCCCGGGCTAAATGCCTTTTGTCAAGAGGGCAGGAAACACAAATTACAAAATACTGGTGTGCACCTGCACGCAGCTCAGTCTGGCATAGCTTTGGAAAAAGTGCAGAAAAGGGCAACCCGAATGATAAAAGGGTTGGAACACTTTCCCTATGAGGAAAGGTTAAGGCGCTTAGGGCTCTTTAGCTTGGAGAAACGACGACTGAGGGGTGACATGATCGAGGTTTATAAGATTATGCATGGGATAGAGCAGGTAGAGAAAGAGGTACTTTTCTCCCTTTCTCACAAGACAAGAACTCGTGGGCACTCCATGAAATTGCTGAGCGGTCGGGTTAGAACGGATAAAAGGGAGTACTTCTTCACCCAAAGAGTGATTCACACCTGGAATTCACTGCCACAGGAAGTGGTGGCGGCTACAAGCATGGACGGCTTCAAGAGGGAATTAGATAAGCATATGAAGCAGAGGTCCATCAGTGGCTATTAGCCACAAGGTATAGATAGGGGCTCTGGGGCAAGGGATGCTCTGTCTTCTTGGTGCTTGGGGGGGACAACAGTGGGAGGGGCTTCTAGTGTACTGGCCCCACTGGTGGACCTCCTGATGGCACTGGTATTTCTGGCCACTGTGTGACACAGAGTGTTGGACTGGATGGGCCTTTGGCCTGATCCAACATTGGCGTCTCTTATGTTCTTAGGCTGCTACCAATCCTTTGATTTATCCCTCCAGCCAGAAGTCAAAGGATAAACTTCTGACTTTCCCGGGCTTGACTGGGAAGTCCTCCCTGCAAGGTAGACTCACAGGAGGAATTCCACAAAAGTATTGTGGTAGGTGGTCTGTCAGTCTAGGCACTAGAGTCAAATTGCAAGCTGTGAAGGCAAATGACCAGAGTTAATATTTAAAATATATTTTTTTATTTAGGTTCAAGTAATACTTTAAATAAGAACAGTTACTGTGAGGAGAAAATAATAAAACTAAGAATTCAGAGGCTAACTAAACACTGTAAGACATTGGTTCACAAATTACAAAGTGTTGCCCACTCACAGTTTGTGGGTTCCCAAGCAACTCTCTCCGGAGTCAGCAAAGCCAGCACTGTTTGGCTTCAGCAAGCGCAAGTCCAAGATGGCCAAAATAAGCCAGAGCATGCCAACCTGTCTTGGTAACAGGTAGGCACCATCCAAACTAAAGAACAGGTTTCAAGACAATTCCTTTCTTGCAAAGGGTCCCGAGTGTCGCTAGACCTTTGCATCAATCAGGGCCCTTAGCAATTACCTATAGACAAATGAATGAGCCAATTGCTGACCAGATGACCTAATAGTTCTTCTGACCATGTGAGAAGGAGATGGGTCTGTCTGCAGCCAGCCCACACTGGGTTTCCCACAGGGTGTTTAATTGGATGGAATGTTAATTGTGAGACAGTACCAGGAGTTGACTCTCTAGCACAGCTGTCTCATCTCCCCATCGCAAGATCAGCGTGTTCTTTTCCCAGCAAGGCAGTCCAGGTCTCTGACAAAAAACCCCAAAGCAGGCTGCAGAAGCCTCTACCAGACTTCTGAATCAAAACGCCATTCTGAATGAACCAAAAACCGATGGGGCCTCCTTCGAAAAACATTCACCATTTATCAGCTATGACAGCAATATCTACTGATCACTTACCTTTGCCTGTTCCCTCTATGCTCCTTCCATTTTATGTTTAGAACTTTTATTTTGATTTAGGTCACTTTTATTTGAAGTGCTATGCCTAATTAACACAACCACTTTCTAATACAGGGGTGTCCCCGAGACGGTGCCTATGGGCACCATGGCACCCACCGATACCTTTCCTGGTGTCAATCAAGTATTTTTAGAAAGTGGGCGGGGCCAGGTGGGACGCCTACAGAGCAGGGCTTCTGATTGGCCACTGAGGACCTGATTGGCTGGGCAGATTAAAATAATGTTGCTTCAGCTGTAGCTGCCACCACAGTATTGGTTCTGTGCTCTCTCTCCCTCACAGGTCGTCCCCAGTGTGCGTGTGTGTATACACACACACGACTCTTTTTGTAGAAAAAGCCCAGCAGGAACTCATTAGCATATTAGGCCACCCCCTGACAGCACAGCTCATTCGCATATTAGGCCACACCCCCATGTTATCAGAAGTGTGGTCATCCAGCCACACCCACCTTTTGCTTCTCATTCTCTTTACCTTGTTTGTTGTCAAAACCCAGGGCTTTTTGCATGTTAGGCCACACACCCCTAATTGTAGCCAATCCTAATGAGTTGCTGCTATTGGGTATGGCCTATTATGCTAATGACTTCCTGCTGGGCATGGCCAACTTGGGAGCCAGCCGGAACTCCGTTCCTGTGCTTTCCTGCCCCAAAATAGCCCTGTATATATATATATAATTGCTTCTCTTGTCCCCTGCACTTGGGGACTGTGTGTGCGCGGCTCCATAAGTACAGTTTTGCAACTGTACTCATCACGCTGTGTCAGAGTTCCAAAGGGGCTAACAGGCTCAAAAAGTCTGGTAAGCCCCACCCTAACAAATAAGAGTTCTGTACACGTTAAGTCTATCCCCCGGAATAGCCCACATAAAGATCAGAGTCATATTTATGTATTTTATTTCTTTATTTACAAGATTCATACCCTGCCTTTCTACCATTATTAGGGCCACCAAGGCCCTGCCTGGGCACAAGTACTTTGGCGCATATAGTTACCTTATTTATACCCGGCCACTCTCCCTTATGGGAACACAAAGCCACTTCGCTATGGCAAGCTTCCCCCCTCTCCTCCATTTGATCCTTACAACAACCCTGTGAATTAGGTGAGGCTGAGATAGGGGTGTGCATTCGGTAAAGTGGAGCTGGAAAAAAACACTGAAAAATGCAAGCCGAATCAGAATTTCTGATCTGATTTGGCTGTTGAGTATAGAATGCCAAAGAAAAGCTGAAAACTATTAGACTTTTATTCGGCATTGCTAAATACAAGATCCGGGTGTGGGGGGGGATTAAACTTTAAAAAGCCGCACTTCTCTTTCCCACCCTTTGCACTGCTTTCCAGGAGGGAGGGGGAAGAGGGACCTTACATACAGCCAATCACTGCAATGCACTTGTGAATGGCATTGCAGCTTGCAAGGCTGTTGTTGCTACTGGCTTCAAACTTGAAACCCAACTACTAGTTTGCTTTCCCCGGGACGGGGGGGGGGGGGGGGGCAAGACACG